ATTAACCTTCAGGGTGGATATAGCTCGCTAGCAGCCTCATGCCGATGACCTAGTTGATGTCATCATTTACCCAGAATCCTTTGTGTGTAAAAAAATGGCCCCGTCCGTGTAATATATTTTTAAACTTTTAGTTTAAAAATGATAAAAACTCAACATCCTACAGTATTTTTACAGTCTTTATTTTCACAATTAAAGTACATGTTTATCATATTCCCTTAATGTTACAACTAATTGGGATCCCTTTAACTCTTTTGTTGGTTTTTCAGCTTGTTCTTAGCTGTTGGGTTTACAATGTTTGTCTCTGCTTTTATTCTTCCCAATATTCTCTTCCAAATGTGGTATAATATGTTGTTAAAGTGTTGATTCATGTTGTTTTGGTATTTTTATGTATTTTTGTCATTGATGTTTTATGTCTACTTGTGTCTTGTCTTTTACCAGGTCGAGGTTGTAAATTTGAACTGGTTCTCAGTTGATCTAACTGGTAAAATAAAAAGAATAATTGTCATTATTTAAACAAAATTTTGAATATGTTCATCTTTAATTTGATGATCCTGTTTTTAGTTTCCTTCACTCCTCAGTACAATCTGTCTCTAATGAGAATCCTAATTCTGAGTGACGATAGCGATGCATCTCTGGAGGTTTCAGGGAATAATCAACCAATTGGAACGTGGCTCTAAGCATCGGTAAAAGAGGAAAAAGTTGCTCGTGGTGGAGAAACACATCATGATGAGGAGAAGAGAGATCTGAACTCCTCTGACTGATGAAGACTCTGTTAGGTGAGACGTTAATGCTCATCATGTGCTCTTTGCTGCACTGTTTCATTTTATTTTTTAAATAGTGATGTTCATATAAACTGTGTTTTTCTCAAACAGGTGACCGACCAAGATGCAAAACCTGACAGAGCTTCCTTTCAACTCAACCTCACCAAAAACCTCCGTGATCGTCAAAGTTTGTGTGGTCATTCCCTTCTTCTGCTTCTTCCTCAGTTTCATCGCTCTCATGCTGCACACCTTCGCCTCTCACAGACACTTTTTGGACACGTCACGTTACGTCCTGTTTGCACACATGCTGATCAACGACACTGTGCAGCTCATGATCTCTGTGCCACTCTTCCTCTGTGCCATTGGCCGAGCCAGATTTCCGCGTGTTCTCTGTGTCATTATCCTCACTCTCTCTACTAGCACTTTTCAGAACACTAATTTGATCCTGGCTGCCATGTCCCTGGAGCGTTACGTTGCCATTTTCTACCCCCTGCAGCCTCCGGCCTTCTGGCGCTCAGACAGGATCTGGGCCATCAATCTGTGTCTGTGGCTCTTCAGCTTCACTTTCTCTGTCACAGAGTTTTGCATCAGGAAACAAGACCCAGCTCTGAACATCCTGCCTACCCCTGTTCTTTGTATAAATACAGTTATCAACTCGTCCCCGGTTCAGGCCGTGTTCAGAGCTGCAATGAGTGTGTTCTTCTTCTCTGTAGTGGCCGTCATCATCCTCTTCACCTACTTGAGGATTCTGCTGGAAACCAGGAAGCTGCGTCAGGACAGAGCGTCGGTGAGCAAAGCCCTGCACACGGTGCTGCTGCACGGCTTCCAGCTGCTGCTGTGCATGCTGGCCTTCACACACCCCTTCACCGAGACCCTCTTTGTGCTGCACACCACGTGGCTGACAGAGGACGTGGCGTTCTTCAACTACTTCTGCTTCATCCTGGTGCCACGCTTCCTCAGCCCGCTCATCTACGGCTTCAGGGACCAGAGCCTCAGGAAGCACATCGGGAAAACATTCATCTGTGGCCCCAAACGACGAGTCAAACCCAGATTAAGATGCTGACTCATCGTTTACTCCAACAAAAACAGACATGTTTCAAAATAATTTAAATTTTTTCACAGATATGCAGCAAATTGTCATCTTAATATAGTTAAAATTGTAACAGAGCCACAGGTTTTATCTCAGCAAAGGTTAAAAACCGGTCCCTGTTTTATTTCTCCTAAATGCTTTACGTGGTTAAAAAAGTCCAATACTCTACTTAAAACCTGTGTTGATGTTTTAGTTCCACAATTTTATTTATGTGACAAACTTTAGAACAATTCAAAATGTTGTTGACTTTAACCAGGAAGAAATGGTTTTATAAGAAAAAAATGGATTTGTTTCCTCTTTTATATTAGTGATTTGCAGACAAAATGCTTTGAAAACTGAATTCTCAATGTGACCTTTTGTTCTCTGAGTCATGACCTCTTTGTTTTACACATGCAGAGGCTGCAGCTGTTTCACAGATGGGTCGACGTCTTTTTTTTTTTCCTCTCAGATCTGTGACTTAAACATGAACCAGGCAGAATCTGAGTGATGAAGATTGCTCAACGCTGTTAGTGAAGCTGAGGTGAACCCTGCAGCTGATCTGTTTTAACGACTTATAATCTGTACAATCTTTTAAAGAGTTTATTCATTTTTAGACATAAGATTATGTTTCTGAACAGAAAACAAACATCTGCTTTCACTTGTTGAGGTTTGTTCATGTAAAACTGAAGAATTTTTAGGTTTGTTTGAAAGATGAAAAAATATATTATTTCTACGTGGAATGAAATAAAGTATTCATGTGTTGAAGCAAAACACAAATAAAAGTTTATATAAAAAAGTTGCATCATGTCCTTGTTTTTCAGTTTTTATAATTAAATGTGTTCATACTTGCCTTATTGTTTTTTAATAATGATTCACGTACATTTATTTGAAACATGATGAAAACATTGCTGTTTTATAAATCCTATGTGAATCACACGTAAATACTTGTATTTTTTATGATTTGATTACATTTATTCAGAACTTATGAACGAAAAGGAAGCATGTACTGTATTGCACATCATCAGTGTTGCCAGGTGTACGATAATTACCGTATTTGTACGATAATTTTGCCCTCTGTACGATGTACGATCAATAATCCCAAAAAACCCATAATGTACGATAATTTGACCGCTCCAATGTGTGACGTAATCGACCCGACACGCKGCTCGCTGACATGAGAGGTGGCAGGTTGTGGAACACAGCGGTGCTGATTTAGCGACTTCTTCGCTAAATTTACAGACTTTTCAGACCCTCTAGAGCAGGGGTGCCCAAACATTTTTCCGGAGAGGGCCAAAATAAAAATAAAAAACATTTTTCCTGAAAGGACCAAAATTCAAATCAGTCTGAGGGCCACGGGCCAAATGCAAAGTAAAGTTGTTTTATTTTTTAGGATTAAGTTAGCAGCCAGTGTGGTTGCCCACATTATTTTTTTCTTTTCAGCCCATGGACATGGAGAAAATTCAATGTATCCTCAAGCAGCAAAGGCTCATGGGATTTTTCACATTTAAAATTTTAGTATGTGTAGTCTTATAAGGTGTGCAAATCTGGACATGGGCTTGAATCTAATCTAAGTGTCTCAATCTAATAACCAAGACAACTGTTGGTGGGCCAAATCAAATGGCTTGACGGGCCAATTTTGGCCTGCGGGCCCCACTTTGGGCACCTCTGCTCTAGAGACTGTTATTCAGAAAAGTGACTAGTGAAAATCTAGCGACTCTTTTTCTGGTGTTATTGAGACTTTAAGAGACTCTGCAGTGAACGCATTTCTCCATTGTGCTGCTGAGAGCTCCTCCTCCCCGGTCCCAGAGCACCGACAGGAGGCTTCTTCACGCTGCGTCTCTCCCTGCTGCAGGTAGATCTCCATCATCCCATCCAGACTTGATGCTGACTGATCCATGATGGGATGTTAATAAAAACATTTCTATGGTTAAAATAGATCCCTTTGCCAGTCCCAACAGAAAGGAGGGTTAGAGCTGTGACAGTAAAATAAAAATATATATTAATCTATCTAGGAGC